AGGAAGGAAGGAAGGAAGGAAGGGAGGGAGGGAGGGAGGGAGGGAGGGAGGGAAAGAGAGAGAAAGAAAAAGAAAGAAAGAAAGAAAGAAAGAAAGAGAGAGAGAGAGAGAAAGAAAGAAAGAAAGAGAGAAAGAGAAGAAAAGAAAGAAAAGAAAAGAGAAAAGAAAGAGAACTGTCTCTTGTCATTCTAAGGCAGTACATTGGTTTGCCTCACATTTTATCCTGCTAACTTAAGATTTATCAGGTTAATGAAAGACCAGTAGATAAAAAGGTATTGTATTATATAAACAAAGACGAATTTCATGCAACCACAGATGGGTTCGAAATGGAGAGGAACTTAATGTCCTCTTCTCCCTAAATCCAAATAAGTGAACTTGGGACCACAGTGGGGCAGTGAGCAGCAAGGGTCGCCCATTCATTAACCACACGGATGAGGATCTGGGCAGAAGCATGATGAGGCGGACGGCACATCTGGGGTGGGAGCGGCCATAAAATAATGGAGAAGACATTTCTATGCTGCAGATCAGGCACTGAGAATATTCCAGCCCAAGGGCACTGGAGATGGGGATACGAGGGACACCTAGCCAGACCCCTGGTGTGAGTCACCTGGAGTTTCTGTGCCACTCGCCATCCCAGGGTGAGCTTACTGGAAACTATATGCCAGCAGAGGTCCTCCCCGTTTCCTAAATTTTCTACAATCTGGGAGAATATCAGGATGCTGAGCTCATAGGAAACTTCCCCAGGGCTCTTCTAAGAGCTTGCTTTTAATAACTAAGTATTCAGACACGCTTCCCAGTCTTTCTATCCTACTCAAAGAATACTCTGCAATTTAGGGGGCACAACATCATGCCAGATACTTATACACATTTAACATGTATATTTAAGAGTACTGAAAAATGGAGCATGCCTGCCTCACTATCCTAGAGGGGAATTTTTATTTGTATCATAAAGCTGGCTGGGTCCAGTGGCTCATGCCTATAATTCCAGCACTTGAGGAGGCTGAGGCAGGAAGATCCCTTAAGCACAGGAGTTCGAGACCAGCCTGGGCAACACAGTGAGATCCCATCTCTTCAAAATATAATAAAATAAATTTTAATAATTAGCTGGGCATGGTAGCAGAGGCCTGTGGTCCCAACTATTTGGGAGGCTGAGGCAGGAGAATCACTTGAGCCCAGGAGGTCAAGGTTACAGTGAGCTGTGATCACACCACTGCACTCCAGCCTAGTCAACAGACTGAGACCTTATCTCTAAATAAATTCTATACATATATATAACCATCGAAGTGCATACAATCAGTAATGTGAATTCTGAGGCATAATTCACAGATTTTGTGTTCCCTTCACCATTGTAAAAAGTACAAAAATTTTATCTAAATGAAAATTTTAATTCTACCATTAAAAAACTTTTAATCTTTAAATATAATTTTTTCAACATCTACCACTAAAAAAAGTAAATAATTCATGACCTCTAAACGTTTTGGACAAAGTAGGCTTCTCTTCGGGGTACTTATTTGGGCTTCTATTTTGTTGAGGAAATAAAGTCATGCTAATAGATATAGGAGGAGGAAGCAAGATAAACACTCATGTGCTGCCGTAAGATTAGTGACCTCCAAGATTTAGACTGGGTTCCAAATCCCTGAATAATAAATAAATCAGCATGAGGAGAAGCCCACAGGTCTCGAACATGGAGAGGCTGGTTAATGGTAGTCATGAACATTCCGAGGCCTGTGATAACAGAAATGCAGTCCCACTTAATGCTCCAAACGTTATGACTGTAGTTTCAAATTAACTGGCAAAGTGGCGCAACGTTACAGCTGTAAGAGTGCAGAGGTCCTCCAATGACTTTCTAATAACAGCTGAAATCAGACCGATATTTGTGTGGTCTCTGCAGTTTACAAATCCTTGCACATTGCACCGTGCTTGGACTGAAAAGTTTTGTTAAATAAATCTACACGAGATGCTTTCCAGAATAGGCTTCCTTAATCTTCACGAAAATCATGTAAAACAGAGAGGGTAGGAGTAATTTCCATCCCACAGTGAAGGTGATTCAATTCAGAGATACATGACTTCACTGCCACTAACATTCGTTAGGCACTGACCGTGTAGCTACACCCAGTTTCATGTACTAGGAAGGTATTAACATGCTTAATTCTCATAAGATTTCAATTTGGTGGGTATGAATAGTATCCCCATTTTACAGATAAGAAAACTGTGACACAGAAAAATTCAGTAACTAGGACATGAATATGAATGTAACTATAACCAGCTATCACAATTAGTAACCAGCACCAGGACTGAACGCAGGCAGTTAGTTTGAGTCCACACTTTGAACTACAGCATCTGCTTGGAGATTTGCCTGTGTAATAGCACCTATGTGCCCTGGCCTTGGTCACAAAGCTAGTCAATGGCCAAGCCAAAGCTATGCCTGTGTTCTCTCCAGGCCTCCTCCCTGCTTCTATGAGGGTAGCTGTCATTTGCACAATGTCACTCAGGCCTCCCCACAAATCCACTCAACTGACCAGGGTGGGGACGTGTAGGCACAACTAACTCTCCCTAGGAACCCGGGTTAGGAAGGCTAGCCTCAGAAGCAAGACAGGTAAGAAGCCCATAGTGCAGAGGCATCAACCACTTGGAAACTACTGGGTATACTTGGGTATAGCTAGGAAACGAGCTACTGAAGATCTACATGGCAGGTTCAACAAAGTCTCTATTATAGAACCAAAAGTCTACTCTAAAACCACAGAGTTAGAAACTGTTCTTGAAGGGGAGTTTACATTTTACCAATCTTGGCTTTTAACTAATCGCGTATTGTCTTTCAGGGAAACCTCACAGTCAGGGTATGTACAAAAACCCTGTGGTTCCAGAAATGAATGGGTTTCCCAGTGAAAGAAAGAAATACACAGCCCGTCTCACATCAGAGCATTCCTGATTACAAAGACCCCTCCGAAAAATGGCATAACCTAACACTATGTAAACACAGCCAGTGTTTTAGCAACTACTACATTTAAACATGTTTACAGGGAATGCAGGATGCTTCACTTGCCTCACAGCAAATGGATTCCTAGAGCATTCTGCAGAGTCAACATTCATTTATTTTTCCACACACATACAAATTGGAATAAAAGATTGTATGCCCCGCCCCCCCACCAATATTCAGATTTTCTCTAGTAGGAGAAAAATAGCAGCAAAGCTTCTTGTAGAAAATGAATCAACATGCATAGTGATTTTCTTCCAAGCATCCCTTCCATTTACAAAGATGGAAATGTAATCAGATCCTAAATGTGTTGTTAATAAGACATACTTACTGAGAAACTTGGTGTCAGACTTACCTATTGGATTTCTATCAAAGAATAATACCGGAGCTTTCAGAATTGACTCAAACATTTTGTTGTGCAAAGTTTGTGAAGAATTAACAAGGACGTAGAATACCAATAGAGATCTTGCTATGCCAAAAAGAACGGTAGCTACAGTTAAACCTGAAATAAAGAAATATCACTTAGAGAACACAGCATATCTCTGCATTTTCTTCAACAGTTGCTAAAGCAAGTCAGGTAGTTTATAAAGATGTTACTTAATTTATTCCATAAAGCATCTGGATTCTACAAAAGTATAACGTATTTACAAAATACATTGACAAAGAAGGATTAAAATAGTTTATTTTTCTCTCACTGAATGGAAACTGCACAGAAAAGAAAAATCAGGTGTACAATACAATTTCATTCTAGGCTCTCCTAATTCAACTGCAAGTTCTATTAAAAACTCAGAAGTAAGATAGATAATCATGAAACGTAGTTGATCTTCTCCATATTCCAAATCTTATTATTTACATTATATCCCATAATCTAAAAAAGGTGGTATGTTTTGATACCAACATGTGATATTAACAAGGAATAGGAGAAATGATTTACCTTTTCCTTGTAGAAAATGCCCAAGTAGCTTTAAAGAATTTAAAAATACCATATTAAGTTGCATGTGGAAAACCTCTTGAATAATTGAATTGCAAGAAAACACATATTATATTTTAACATAAGATAATTAATCTAAATAAGCAACTAATCCCCCACTAAGTGTTTTACATAGACACAAGACATTTTTAAATGAATAAAATCATACATTTTATTAAGACATAAATGAGGATCCATTATTCACATAGAAATTAAAAGAGCTTTCCTACATCTCTTAACTCACAATGCTCAATACAGTGGGGGTAACTTCTATAACAAATATTTCCCTTTCAGATGTCATGTCACTGTTATTTAACCTCTGAAAGCAGCTCAAATTCCTAACTCCATCAACAGGCATTATCCTTAGCCTGTCATCCTACACAAACATAATAGAACCGATTTCCTTCTTCCCTTAGTTTTCACATAGTCCGTCAATTTGGAAGGTAAACACCTAACGGATTCAGATTTCTTAGCAAGCGATAGATGAAATAAACACCAAATTTCACTGAGTAGGTTCTTCCAAAGATAACTCACTCTATCTCTGAGGAAAGCTTGTAGGAGCATTTCCTGTGGAAATATTTAAAATTTTAGATGAGGATTTCCTTTAAACAGTATGTAATGCTACATACATTTTAAGCACTCTTGTGAAAACAGAGTGTGGTGTTAATATTAGTTTGGCAAGCCAAATGTTAAATTAATCACACAGTTGGGGACGCGATAACATTGTGATCTCAAGGTAAGAAATAGAAGGCGTCCTAATTCCCAGACACTGGATTCTTCCCTGCTCAGCTTCCCTCTTAAGTAATTAGTGAAGCCCAGGAGATGAGCAGTGCTGAAGGGAGCTTTGCATACCTGGGAGGGAATAATGCTTTTATTTTGGGGGCCTTGCTGCCAGAGGATTTCATCCAAGTTCAATAAAAGCCAGGGTTTATTTAGACAGAATTGGAACAATCCGAACCACAGGGTGGGGATCCGTTTCTAATCCCCCTGCCCATCCGTATAATGATATAAGATTTAGCTAAAGCAACCTATTAGAATAGACAATAGCCACATATTTCCAGTGGCTGATTTTCTGAATGCTCAATCCTGGTTTAACTTTCAAAATCCAGTACAGAGCAAATTAAGAGTCTTCATTCAACCTCTTTCTTCTAGTAGATTTTTAAAATAATTATTCTAATTAATTCACAGAGTAAATTCGACTGAGACTCCTAATCTGTTAAGACATTACTGAATTACTCCTGGAAGCCCTAGTTACTCACACAGGCTCATTGTAAGCACCTCAGCCTCTCATATAATAGACCAAATGATTCAACTTTACCTGAATAAATTCCTAAGTACCAGTTAAGATCTAGCTTCTTGGTTACATTTCCTCCTCCATTTACAGTGACATTTAGCGTAATTTGTTGGTTTGCCCTGTGGAACATGGGGAGAAAAAAATATTAAGCTATATATGGAATTTAGAGAAATACCTTTTTTAAAAAAATGAACCACAATTTGAGAGAAATGCTTTATGCTGGAAAATGATTCTCAGCTCATATAGTCCTGTGTGTATCTACCTCATAAAAATTCAATTTAAATCACAACTTTCAGTTCCCGAAACTGTGAACATGATGCCGCGGATCAGACACGGGTGGAGACCACCACAGGTTACACTCCACCAGCAAGCACTCTAACTTTTCTTCGGGTAAACTAAGTGAGGATTAGAAGAGAAGGATCAACAAATATCTCCCCCTAACTCTACGGAAAAGCGGGTCTTCTTATTGAGTTTGAGTATTTCATACGTCAGAAATAACTTACCAGTACGAAAGCCACCAATCTTGAAGAACATAGGCAACCTAGGAGGTGAGAAACAACAAAGACAAAAATCAAACTTGGGCATGACTTACCAACTCAAAACTCTCAATCGCTAACATGGACAATCGAAAGAAAGCCCTCAAAGCCGTGCGTGGTGGCTCATGCTTGCAACCCCAGCACTTTGGGAGGCTGAGGCAGGCGGATCAACTTAAGGCCAGGAGTTCAAGACCAGCCTGGCCAACATAATGAAACCCTAGGTCTACCAAAAATACAAAATTGAGCCTAGCCGGGCATGGTGGCACATGTGCCTGTAGTCCCAGCTACTCCGGAGGCTGAGATAGGAGAACTGCTTAAACCCGGGAGGCGGAGGTTGCAGTGAGCCAAGATTGCACTACTGCACTCCAACCTGGGCAACAGTGCAAAACTCCGTCTCAAAAAAAAAAAAAGAAAAAAAGAGAAAAAGAAAAAAATAGAAAGAATAAAAAGCTCAGAGAACTTGCATAGTTCTTCCAGCTTAGGTCTACACTGAGCCCAAACTCCCAGATATCAAGAACTCAAGAAAACGCATGTTCCATTTTAAAATCATTGAAAGATACCCTTTTTTTTTTCCGCAGAAGGTCTTTGTAATGGGACACCACTAGGCAGCCCTCACTTTGTTCCCCAAAGACAGCACATTTCAATTCAGATCCCAAGTGAACTGCAAGATGTAGTCAAAATAGCATAAACATAGGTACTGTAAATATCATTTTGAGGGCACAAAACAAATGTCATTATTTACCTGAGCTGCAGTGTTTAGGAGAATAAGGAAAATGATGACAATCCAGTGAGCACCAGCTCTGAAGTAATTCTTATAGGCCTGAAAACCAACTTTTCCTTCAGAACGGTTCTCGTCTGAGAGTGTAACTGGGACATTCTCCGTCTGCAAAGGAAAGGGTGGTAAGAGACAAAATCGTATACAAAACTGTTCCCAAAGATGACAATGCACTCTGTTGACAAAGCTGTGGGGAAACAGGCAGAAGTCCAAAATGATCCATCTCCTGTGGAGAAGGGTGTGGAAATATCCCGCCAAACTATACATGTACTTACTTTTTATTTATTTACTATTTTTTGAGACGAAGTTTCGCTACTGTTGCCCAGGTTGGAGTGTAGTGGAGCGATCTTGGCTCACTGCAACCTCTGCCTCCTAGCTAGGTTCAAGCGATTCTCCTGCCTCAGCCTCCTGAGTAGCTGGGATTACAGATGCCTGCTACCACGCCTGGATAATTTTTGTATTTTTTAGTGGAGACAGGTTTTCACCATGTTGGCCAGGCTGGTCTGGAACTCCTGACCTCAGGTGATCCTCTTGCCTCAGCCTCCCAAAGTGCTGGGATGACAGGCATGAGCCACCACACCCAGCTACATGCACTAATCCCTGGACTCAGCCATCCCACTTTCAGGGTTCTACTAGAGGTAAGGAAATATCATTTGTACACTGTGGCATGGCTTGCTGGCAGGATGACATCAGAATGTCCAGCACTTACCGAGCACATCCAAATTCAAGTATACATACAGAAACTTGTTCCAAAATCATGTACAGAAAGATATGGAACTCTCAATTGCATCACTCAATATGGAAGCATAAAAGAGCAGAAGGTCAAAACATGAGCTCAATACAGTAACTGGCTTCAAGCAGTGAGTCTGAGTAACCACAGTTTGGAAAGCAAGGGATAGCATATGATCCTAATCTGTTTGGTTCCTGAATTTCAGAAATTGACTCCTGAGAATTTGGCATGTGAGGGCCTAATCTGAATATCTGCAAGAATCCTTCAGGCTCCTGGATTTGGATAGTGAGGGTTAGTGTGGCAAGGAATATCTATGTTTTTAAGTGAGCTCTGGTACATTTCTGCCTGGAGGACTTAGAAGGCATGAGATTCACATACTCTGAGGATGTACTGAGCAGCTCTATGTTGGCCACTGGGAATACCAAGATGAGTAAGATGCAGCTCCTACCCTTGAAAGGTAAAGAAGGAAGATGGGCTGCTGTGTGTCAGGAACTGTTGGGTCTTTGCACGTGCTACTTCTAGCCTAACATAAACCATCTGACAACAGGGCAAAATACCTCCATCAGCCACGTGCTGCGTCAGAACATTCCAACATACAGGAAAAGTGGCTAACTTCATGAGGCCCACAGCAGGACTTTCTTTAAGGCGGTCTTCAAATTATGCCTCTGGATGCAAAGAGAAGTTGGGGGCCACCAGACTAAGTAGGACTTCACTACAGTAAATTCAAGAATTGTAATATTAGCGTGAGTCACACACAGCTTGGGACTTGCACCAGTACACACACCTGCTACTCATCTCCATGACATTCCCCAGCCTACACACAAAGGATTACTCCAACCAGAGTTGTTTGCCTTGGTTCTGTTTTAATCTACCAATATCACGGAACAGGGCCTTGAAACCACAGAATCTACTTTGGGACAAAAGACGATGCTTCAAACAGAGGAGACTAAAGATCCATAAGGCCATTAGCAGTCAACAAAACCAGGCCGTGTTGTAACAGGAGGTAAACTCACATCTTGGGTCTCCACAGCACCATCTTTCAAGGAGGGTCTAGAAGATTGCTGAGACCAAACCGAAGACTCTGAGAAGGTGCGATTCCTCAGCGTGGGAGTTTCTGGAACTGGAAGTTGTTCGCTTTCCTCGTTGTCCTTCTTCAAAAGGGAGCCAAAATCTATACCAGATTTTAGGAACTCAGTGTAAGTCCCCTTCTGCACCATTTTACCCTAAAATAAAAATAAAGAATTTCAGAGAGATACATTTGCAGGTGATAATGTTAACCTAATCTAATTCTAATCCAGAAAAGGTAACTGATCTTAAATTATGATTATACTTAGGTCCGGAATCCTAGTTGACAAATCTAATACAATTCAACCTGATACACAACCAGGTGCTCTGTTCTCAGCCAGAGCCCATGTTAGGTACTGAAGAATATTTTTTAAATGATAATAGTGTGTTGCAAATGGCGATCATTATCACATAGATGTTGGTGACCGTATCAGTAGTCTTATTACACATGAAAAACTGAGATAAGCCCTATGCAATAAGAATTGAAGGAATGAGTAAATTGAGAAGGATATTCCAGGAAAGAAACCTAACACTGATAGGGAGGTAGGACCAGGCATATCTGCACAGGTAGGAAGCACTCCACAAGCCTCCACTGGCCATGGGCCCTGCTGGAAAAAGGTGTGGGAACCAGACTTGGACACCGACCCCATGAGCTGCACCTTCATGGTCTTTACTCTAAAACTGCCCCACAGGCCAGGTGCGGTGGCTCACACCTGAAATCCCAGCACTTTGGAAGACCAAGGCGGGTGGATCACCTGAGGTCAGGAGTTTGAGACCAGCATGGCCAACATGATGAAACCCCACCTCTACCAAAAATACAAAAAAAATTAGCCGGGCACCTGTAATCCTAGCTACTCGGGAGGCTGAGGCAGGAGAATCACTTGAACCCAGAAGACGGAGGTTGCAGTGAGCAGAGATCGAGCCACTGCACTCCAGCCTGGACGACAAGAGCAAAACCGCATCACATACATACATACATACATACATACATACATGCCCCAAAGACTCAGGGAATTCCTAACTGAAAATTCAACATTCCACGGGACACCTCCTTGCACAGTTTTCTCTCCTTACAAAGTCATAGAAAATAATGTACAAATATCTTCACTATTTGTGTACCCCATGAAATGAGATACCTCATGAAATGAGACCCAACTGATTTCCTCAAAGAGCAGCAAACATAATATTAGGCAAACTCCCAGAATACAAATCAAAGGAGAGGTGCTCCTGGTTAAGGCAAGTCAGGTGGGGGAGGGTGGCCAGGACCCTCCCTGCTACCCCAATCCTCCCCACCCCCAAAAAGGTGGGTCCACTGAGGAAAATCCAATGACCCCTTGGGCCCTCTGGACCAGTTTGATAACTGGAGAATTCGAAAATGCTTCATCATACATTGAGTCTTCTTCCACATAGGAGGTAAAAGTGACACACCTCGTTTGATGAAATGACCACTTTTCACATAGTATCTGTAAGACGCACAAGGAAACTCCTACTGGTACTAGGATGGCAATTTTCCTCAGAAGCCAAGTACTCACAAGCAATGCAGAGTGGGTTCCGAGGGGCAACCGTGCTCTGTCTGCTGTTAGGGAGGGGGCTGGGACGACAGCAAGAACGCACACATATTCATCCTGGGTGCCCACCAGTGGAAAAATGGTTTGTGTGTGTGTGTGGTAGGATCTCATTCTGTTGCCCAGGCTGGAGTGCAATGGCACGATTTCAGCTCACTGCAACCTTCGCCTCCCGGGTTCAAGTGATTCTCCTGCCTCAGGCTCCTGAGTAGCTGGGATCACAGGCATGCGCCACCACACCCAGCTAATTTTTTTGTATTTTTGGTAGAGACGGGTTTTCACCACGTTGGCCAGGTTGGTCTCGAACTCCTGACCTCAAGTGATTCCCCCTAACACCTCGACATCCCAAATTGCTGGGATTACAGGCATGAGCCACTGCACCTGGCCAGATGGTTGTTTTGGAGAAAGGTTATTCTGCCACCCACAGATTTTACTCTAATGTACCAGCATTCAGGTTTTGCCACACTAGTCTTAGCCCTCTGCATGAGAAATTAATTGTTTTCAACTTTGAGGAACCCAGGCTCCCCAGGGGAAGAGCCAGCACACGGAACTGCTTCTGAAGAGGCACCAGTTCTTCCTTCGATAATCCTCTTAAGGGTGAGAATTCACTTGCCGGGACTTCGGCGGACAGATTCCTCACTGTTCTTTAAGCAGCAAGGAGAGACTTACACACAAAGACTTGCAAGAGCTCTGCTATCATTATATACCCCGTTTGTTGCAATAATGTGAAATTTATCTAAGAGCTCTGCTATCATTATATACCCCATTTGTTGCAATAATGTGAAATTTATCTCCCTTGGAGAATGGTGCACACAGATCTTATAAAATATAATTAACACTCATTTTTGTTACTTCCATCATTTTATTAAGAAATTGCGGGAGGAGAAACATTAAAACATTTGAAGACACTAAGGGGGTTTCAGACCTACAATGAGGAATTTGACCAGGGCCTGGAACAGAGCAAGGGTTAAGGACGAGGTTACTGAGGCGAGAGGCAACGAGCCAAGGAGTGATGCATGAAACCACCACTGGGCTGAGAAGTTCTCACTAACCTCCATGTCACCGGCCACGCTAGCTCTTCTTGGTTGAATGGTGACCCTCTAAAAAGATATGTTCAAGTCCTAAACCCTGTTACCCGTGAATGTGGCCTTTGTTTTGTGAAACAGGATCTTTGCAGATACAATCAAGACAAGATAAGGTCATACGGGACTAGAGTGGGCCCTAGGTCCAATGACTGATATCCTTACAGGAAGAAAGCCAGGCAGACACAGCAACAATGCCATGTAACAACAGAGGCAGAGACTAAAGGGCTGCGCTGCCAGCCAAGGATCAACTGTGAGTGCCAGCAAAACCCAGAAAGTGGGAGAGGCGAGGAAGGATTCTCCCCTGAAGCCTTCATAGAGAGCATGGCCCTGCGGACACCTTGATTTTGGACTTGTAGCCTTGGAACAGTGAGACAAAACATTTCTGTTGTTTTAAGCTGCCAAATGTGTGGCACTTTGTTCTGGTAGCTCTAGGAAACTGACACACTAGACTAAGCCCTTATTTCTGTCTTGTGAGCTACTAAGACTTCAAATTACTTCTGCTGTAGCTCCCCTAGCAAACAACAAAGGGGATCTCTTAAAATCACAGATCAAACCATGTCACTCCACTGCTCAGTTATCCACCTGTGTGGCTATTATCATTATTTTATTTTTATTTTTTTGAGACAGAGTCTCACTCTGTCGCCCAGGCTGGAGTACAATGGCATGATCTCAGCTCACTACAACCTCCACCTCCCGGGTTCAAGAGATTCTCCTGCTTCAGCCTCCCGAGTAGCTGGGACTACAGGTGTGCCCCATCATGCCGGGCTAATTTTTTTGTATTTTTAGTAGAGACGGGGTTTCACCATGTTGGACAGGCTGGTCTTGAACTCCTGACCTCAGGTGATCTGCCTTCCTCGGCCTCCCAAAGTGCTGGGATTACAGGTGTGAATCACTGTGCCCAGCCATTTCTGCTATTAATAGAAGAGGAGCTTTAGGCAAACTATGATGGATACAAACAGGTCTGAGTATCTGTAATTTCCAAATAACATAATTTGAATTAAGTCATGGAAGAGGTAAACAAAAAGTTCTAAATTAAACTAGCATCATTTTCTTTAACAATGTAGTAATCTTGAGGTAGCAATTTACATACTTTACAGTAATATGGCTTAGCATGTAATAATGACATTTCTACAAGTCTTTTGAGTTAATACTCAAAAACATGAATCCCAGCTCTGAGAAGAAAGGGACATGAAATGCAGGAAGAAGAAGGGGATTCAACACACCTGAGTACTTGCAAGTTCAGGAGATCTCTAGAAACTACTTACATCTTTCAATATCAGAATCTGACTTGCAGCTTTGAGGTACTGCAACTGATGAGTCACTAAAATTGTGATCTTCTCATGCAAAGTTTGACAAATACACCTATAAATGTAAAAGGCACAGGGTGAAAACACACACGAATGGGGTGCTCCACATTGAAAAACATACATTTTGAAACTATAGTCAAAGACAACATAGTAGTCAAAGATCTGGAGGTTAAATACAAACTAAATAGAAATATAAGCCAATAAAGCCGGCTAGGTCCTCAAAACCACTAGCAGCAAATATGAGCCTTGCTGTGAAGAAATCCTAAATACTTGTCTGGGAAGGAGGCAATAAGTATAATTTTTTTTTTTCTAAAACTTAGTTTAACAATATATTCCAGGATGAAAAATGACTGAACAATATAGAGATTCAAAAACCTGACTTAACTAAAACATTAATTATTTTACTACTGTGTAGGATTGCAGGGGAGAAAGAAAGATCAAGGTCATGTAATGACATAGCATTTTTCTTGGACGTTTTCTTAGATAATAATTTATAATGCACATATTAATGCCCCCCAACGCCCCCAAAAAAGCTTAGATTCTTGGTAACTTTTGCCAGAGTGCATTTGCCAGACTCTTCTTCCCAAATAATAATAGGGAGGAAAACAAATGCTAGTGATGTGTGACTCTCCACAGTATTCTTGGTCTCATCCAGGAAGCAAAACTTCTCTCATTAGTCCTAAACAGTCTGAATAAGAAAATGGAAGAACAGAATCCAAACAGTCCAAACCATATGGCTCAAAGATAAGACCCACTTCGGTATTCAACCATCAAGTTTTCTGGGGTTTGTTTGTTTTCTACAGTACCTGCTCAAAGTTCTCTCCCGGGAGCTACAAAAAAAATTAGCCGGGTGTGGTGGCACAAACCTGTAGTCCCAGCTACAAGGGAGGCTAAGGTGGGAGAATCACTTGAGCCCAGGAGGTTGATGCTGCAGTGAGCTGTGATCACACCACTGCACTCCAGCCTGGTTGGCAGAGTAAGACCCTGTCTCAAAAAGAAAAAAAGGAGAGGGAAAAAAAAAAAAAAAAGCAAAGCACTAATCTGTAACAATGGCCAAGAACATAACTCATGCCCAGTAAGTGTTAGCCCTGTCGTCCAATCTTCCCCATATGCAGCCATTGCTTTTAGAAATTCAGGATTGAGAAGTCATAAGCGAGTATCATAGAGACAGCGCCTGTGATCAGAACCGCAACTCCAGATTGCAGATATGTAAACTATCACTTCATCCTTTACACCCAAAAGGATTAATTTTTCCCCTTTCAGGTATCCTAGTTTGGCTTATTTCAAAACTAAGTTTCACAACCTATTATATCCCTCTTCAGGTTTAGTACTAAAGCTTTTAATGAAACTGTTTCCCTTTATTTCAAAATTGGCTGCCATTAATCCCTTTATATACATATCTAAAGGGAGATGTTAATGATCAAATCTGATGGGGTGCTATGTCCAGTATCAGCCACCTCAAAGGTTTCAAAATGTTTTCTTCCTAGCATCTTCCATTGTAGATGAGACATAGAAATAATTACACTAACATTGTAATTGATGGCTTGAAATTTTTTTCTAAATTATGCTTCTTAGGCAAATCTCAAAAAATACTTTCCAAATTTTTAAGAGTAAAAATCTTCCAGTCATGCCATAAAACAAATAATAAGTGATAGATTTAGCAACGAGCTATTTAACACTATATAAAGACTACGGTAAGAGGCCAGGCACGAGGGCTCACGCCTATAATTCCAGCACTTTGGGAGGCTGAGGCAGACAGATCACTTGAGGTCAGGAGTTCGAGATCAGCCTGACCAACATGGTGAGATCCAATCTCTACTAAAAATACAAAAATTAGGTGGATGTGGTCACGCATGCCTGTAATCCCAGCTACTCGAGTAGCTGAGGCACAAGAATCACTTGAACTCAGGAGGTCTGCACTGATCCAAGATCGTGCCACTGCACTCCAGCCTGGGCAACAGAGCAAGACTCTGTCTCAAACAGGAAAAAAAAAAAAAAAAGACAACATTAAGAGCTGACACATACAATGTCAGAGGTGACACAAGTAAGAAAGATATAGTCGGTTGGGTGCAGTGGCTCGCACCTATAAACCCAGCACTTTGGGAGGCCAAGGCAGGAGGATCTTTTGAGCCCAGAAATTCAAGGCCAGTCTGGACAACATAGAGAGATTCCATCTCTACAAAAAACTCGAAACTTAGCCAGGTGTGGGGGTGTGTACTTGTAGTCCCAGCTACTCGGGAGGATCACATGAGCCCAGGAGGTAGAAGTTGCAATGGGCCATGATCATGCCATTGCACTGCAGCCTGGGTGACAGGGCAAAACTCAGGAAGGAAGGAAGGAAGGAAGGAAGGAAGGAAGGAAGGAAGGAAGGAAGGAA